GAAGGCAAGGAAAATCACTAACTAGTAGTAGACACTTGTTAGCTTTGGTAAAGGGAAATAAGGGGGAAGTCAGCACAACACGACCAAGGCAAGGGAAGACACTGAGAGGTATGCAGGAATAAAAGACAACTATGGGAAATACTATAACATATACAGTCCTGCAAGGTATGGGAGGGCATAGGGGAGTACATTTACGTGCATATGTATATAGGTTTGGTTGTGGATATTTTTACATATATATTTGTATGTGCTGCATGTATATTCACATATATAACAGAGCACACAGCGGGTACAGTCGTGGAAACTTCCTAGACATAACCAAACACCTCACGGACTGAGTTACTGGGCTTAAACGCTAGGGACCATAGTCTTGGGGGACATCTAGGTCAATTGGCATAACACAGTTCATAAAGACAATGTTCTACATCCTACTTTGGTAGGTGAGTAGCGTCTGCGGCCTTAAAAGCTTACAAGCAGCCAACTAAGATACAACTACTGGTCTCTTTCCATCTGGAGCAAAGAAGAATGAAGAAAACTGAAGACTCAAGGAAGCAATCAGTCCATAGGACTAATGGACCACAGGAACCACAGCTTCCAGTAGCCTGACACCAGAAGAACTAGATGGTGCCTGGCTACTGCTACAGACTGCTCCAACTGTGATCACAATAAAAGGTCCTGGCTGGAGTGGGAAAAAAATGTAGAACAAAACTCAGATTCATAAAAAAGACCAGACTTACTGGTCCACTAGAGACTGCAGGAACCCCTGAGACTATGGCCCTTAGACACCCTTTTAACTTGGAACGGAGGCTACTCCTGGAGATAACCTTTCAGCCAAATAATAGACAGGCCGGTAAAATGAACAGAGGCATCCATGAGGATGGTGCTTCTTGGAATGATCATCTATATGAAAGCAAAAGGGCAACATCTGCCCAAAAGCAAAGATGAGAAGGCAGGAAGGGGCAGGAAAACCGGGTGAATGGAAACGGGGAACTCAGGGTGGTAATGGGGAAAGTGCTGACATACCGCAGGGACTGCAACCAATGTCACAGAACACTTTGTATATAAACTACTGAATAGGAAACTAATTTGCTCTGTAAATCTTCACCTAAACCACAATAAAGTGTTCAAAAAAAAACTTCATTGCTATGATTAACTCGTACTCCACTAAAATCACAATTTATTGCTAGGATCATATAATCCTTTGCTCTACCAATGGCAAATGGTTTTGCTAAACAAGAGACAAATAACAAGAAAGCAAGTTGTCTTCAAAGCAATATCTGTGTTGTAAAAAATTCCTTTTTTCATGAAGGCAGGTACTAAGGACCTCTACTTGCCACACTTTGGCCAAATGGAGGTGTGTCTCTATGGCTACTGTGTCTGAAACTATAAAAGCTGTGTAGCTTTAAAAACAGCTTTTTATTCACACTTTCTCTTTAGCATAATTAGTACTTATCCTCTATATAGTTTATTTTAAATTGTTATGCACACAGATTATTGGAGGATCTGGGAAATTCAAGTTATACAATAGTGACAGAACCCTTTAAAACGACAGAAAGGAACAACAACAAGAAGGAAAAAACTTCAGTTTTTGCAAACGTACCAATCAATACACTGAGTACATTTGCAGCAATCTACTGTTGTAAAACATGACATGAAATTTAAAATTTGAAGGAGTCCTATGAAATTAACAAAGGGAGTTCAGGAAGACCAAGAGTACAAGGAACTTAAACCCATACTGCTATAGTCAGAAAATCACAAATACACTGGTCTATGGAAATTTTATCAAATTTGCTGCTGTTATTGAATAGCTAGTATCTCAGAGACTTAACACTTCACCCAATGGTGAAAATCTTGAACAAAAATAATTAAGTGTAAATGCAGAATTACACAATGCTTTCAGAGCAAACATAGAGAAACGACTCATAAAAAGGTACCTGAGTCACAGATATATTCCATTGAGTCTTGGTTTCCCATTCTTCAGGTTGTATATATTGGGACTTTTAAAATGGAATGACCACAGAGATATCTTCTAATCCTGATTCAGTAAGTGAGGGAAGGCAACACAGTCAGAACCACTTCCAAAGGCTGGCACTCAAGAGGAAGAGAACTTCACTTTGGGTCCAAGAAAATATGTAAGCAAGGACATATACAAATGCAGAGAAAAGGAACATACTGTCAACATTAATTTTAAGGAATGATTCTAATGTCACATAAAAAGCAAATCTGGATTTAGTAAGGAGAGAGCTTATTCAAAAGGATTATTGAAAGGGGGTGGGAACACACTATAGGGGAAGTCAGCACAACTGGACTAAACCAAAGCTAAGAAGTTTCCTGAATACAACCAAACACTTCGAGGGACAGAGTAGCAGGGGCGGGGGGCTGGGGACCATGCTTTCAGGGGACATCTAGGTCAACTGGCATAACAAAGTTTTTTTAAGAAAATGTTCTGCATCCCACTTTGGTGAGTGGCATCTGAGGTCTTAAAAGCTAGCAAGCGGCCATCTAAGACACATCAATTGGTCCCAACCCACCTGGAGTAAAGGAGAATGAAGAACACCATGGGCACGAGGAAAGTATTAGCCCAAGAGACAGAGGGGGCCACAGGAACCAGAGACTTCATCAGCCTGAGACCAGAAGAACTAGATAGTGCCCATCTACCACAATGACCACCCTGACAGGGAACACAACAGAGATTCCCTAATGGAGCAGGAGAAAAGTGGGGTGCAGAGCTCAGATTCTAGTAGAAAAGACCAGACTTAATGGTTTGACTGAGACTGGAGGGGCCCTGGAAGACATGGCCCCCCAGCTCTCTGTTAGCCCAAAACTAAAACCATTCCAGAGGCCAACTCTTCAACGAATAGACTGGACTATCAGACATAAAGTGATACTCATGAAGTGTGCTTCTTAGCTCAAGTAGATACATGAGATTAAATGAGCAGCTTTTGTCTCAAGGTGAGATGAGAAGGCAGAGAGGGTCAGGAGCTAGTTGAACGGACGGGAAATCGGGAGTGGAAGGGAGGAGTGTGCTGTCACAGTATAGGGAGAGCAGGTAGGGTCACAAAACAATGTATGTATAAATTTTTGTATGAGAGACTAACTTGAATTGTAAACTTTCACTTAAAGCACAGCAATTAAAAAAAAAAATTTTTTTTAAAAAGCGGGGGAGTGGGGAAGGGACTATTCCAATAGAGACACAACGCTTTGACAATAAGATCTGCAAATGTCTCAAGAGTTAGACAAAAAGAATTTTTCTTTTATAGGGAAGGAGCCCTGGTGGTGCAGTGGTTAATCTGCTAACCGGAAGGTCAATGGTTTGAACCAGTTTGAACCCACCAGCTGCTTCATGACAGAAGGATGTGGCAGTCTGCTTTTGTAAAGCCTACAGTCTTGGAAACCCTGTGTTTGGCAACTCTACTCTGTCCTATAAGGTTATTATGAGTTGGAATCGATTCAACAGCACACAACAACTTTTACAGGGAGGAGTAAATGAGGGAGGGAGGTCCCCAGCTGGCACAAAAGGTTTGTGCTTGACTATTAGACTAAAGGTTGGCAATTTGAATGCACCCAGTGGTACCATGGAAGAAAGGCCTGGGGATCTGCTCCTGTAAAGATTCCATAAGCCAAGATAACTCAACAGAGCAGTTCAACTCTGTAAGGCATGGGGACGCCCTGAGTGGAAGTTTTGGTTTGGGTTTTGGAACCAAGGGAGGAGTAAACAAAGCTAGAAAGAACCAGGTGCGGGAAAGCGGGATGAAAGCCTTGATGGGACAGTAGATCAGGGAATGTTTCACCCTGAGGCCAGCCTATTTTCCAGGAAGGGTCCTTAAGGAGAGGTTGTATGCTGATTCATAGGCGTCCCGGTGGTGCAGTGGTGCAGCGTCAAGCTCTTGGCTGCTAACCGAAAGGTTAGCGGTTCAAACCTACCAACTGCTCCCAGGAGAAAGACATAGCAGTCTGCTTCCATAAAGATTACAGCCTTGGAAACCCAATGGGGCAGTTCTACTCTGCCCTAGAGGGTCACTGTGAGTCAGAATTGACTCGAGGGCAATGGTTTGTGGGTTTGGGTATGCTGATTCAGGTTGAGGGTGGGCCAAAGATCAGGGGCCTGAGGGAAGTGGAAAATCTTAACGGAAGCTGGTTAACAAAGCATTTTGTTCCCAATTGATCAGTGGGGACAAGCTCATAAGTTAATCATTCATGTGAGGCAAAGGACGGAAATTTGGAGAGTCTGTGTCTGGCCTTGTCATAGGTAAACCGAGGAAGCATCCTTGAGTTTTATCTAAGTCATATTGGGAAGGGTGGTACCTGCAGTGAGTAGCAACAAAAAGAGGGGAGGAGGGGAGGCTCTCTTTAACCATTACTGTTTTTCAAGATCGCTGGGCTCAGGTAAAATATAACAAAATTCAAATAATTGTCACTAATGTGATCATGCTTTCAATTTTTTCATTATAAATTTTATGGAATAACATTTGAAATGTCCTGCAAAAGTATTCATGTTTTGAAGTAAGCTATAAATATAACTCTTGGTAAATGAAAATGCCACATTACTGTATTTAAATGTTTTCTTTGTCAGGCCATATTCTAATCATCTGTCTAACGAACTTATTTTAATATGCTTTTTATTACTCAAGTAGAAAAACTAGGAAATATAGGTAAGCAAAAAAAAGGAAAATTTTCTATAGAGCCATTACCCAGAGGTATAAACACTATAATTTTGCTTATGTCCTTCCAGACTTTAAAAGCAAAATACATATGTTAGGGGACCCTAGAGGCTGAAGACACCTAATTAATTAGTACTCCATCGGTTATCAGGCCACGTCTAGTCACCTTCCCCACTACCTCACTCACTTCCTCTAAATCGTTTTGCAGACCCTCTGGAGAGCCCCAGATGCATCCAGATCTAACTGGCTCAGAAAGGTCAGCAATGTGCATAACAGACAAAGATGACTGACAGACGACCCTGGGCCACCACGCATACTCAGTAACACAAAAGAACTCACCTCAAGGAACCAAAAGACTCATGTCAACGAGCCAAAATCACCAGATATACATCATCAGCAGTAGCCAAGCCTACTTCGAAAGCGAAGAGTCCGTGGGCCACTTCCGGGCCAAGTCTTAGCCCCGCCTCGTAACAAATAATCAACAGAAACTATGAATAGTTAAAAGTTTCTGATCCTGCCCACTGCCTTCCTCCACCCCTAAATGAATACGTGTAAATATAAAATGTGATTTCTCACTCAAATCGAGGAACTCAATCTGAGGTCTGATACCTCTGAGTTCCCTCTTGCTAGCTTGTGAAATAAATTCTTCCTTCCTCTCAAAAACAGGGTCTGAGAGACTGGCTTCTTGCACGCTGGGCGAGGACCTATTGGTCCGGTTTCATATACTTTATATTGTAACCTGATTTTTATTCAACTATGGGGACATTATTCCATATCGATATATATGAAAAACAAAAACAAAAAACAAACCCATTGCTGTAGAGTCGATTCTGACTCACAGTGACCCTATAGGACAGAGTAGAACTGCCCCATAGGTTTTCCAAGAAGTAGCTGGTGGATTCAAACTGCCAACCTTTATGGTTAGCAGCTGAGTTTTTAACCATTGTGCCACCAGGACTCCGTATTGATACATATACATGACACCATTTTCAATGGGTTCATAGTATTATGTTGTATGGATATACCATAATTTACTTAACCAATTCTGCATCCGTAGATGTTTAGGTGGTTTTTATAAAACACTGTGATAAACGATCTATTGTCTACCCTGTACCCAGAATAATCTTTTAAAACGTAACTCACTGCCCTACTGAAAACTTCATTTTGCTCTTCTGAAAAATCCCTGCCACTCTCCATGACTTCATCCTTTTTCGGTTACTTCAGAGCACTTCTCACTGTCTGAAAACATCAAAAGTCCTTGTTTGTTGTATATGTTCTGTCACCCTTTAAGCTCCATACAAACTCCAGGAGAGCTTAGCACAGTGCCAGGCACTTAGAAGCCCCTCAACAAATGTTTGTTGAAATTAATTAGTTCAGGACAAAAACTCAGCAAATGTTGCTCCTCCTATTTTTATCAAATGATCCTTTGTTGAAATATTTTCCTTTGACAGTTTTCAGGATCTCTTTTAATAGTTCCAGAGAGTTCTCTGGCTAAAGATCAGTGCCGCATCTGTTAGGCAATGTTGACAATCTCTTCAAAAGTGATATTTCCACTGTGCTTAATGCTTTTCTGTTTCTTTCTTTCTCTGGGTGCTTCCTTGAGGCTTTGCTGATCAGGGCAAGAGGCAGAAGGTAGAACCTCAGTCTGGGCCTGTCCGTTCTGAATGGTCACTTTCACCTACTGCAATCCTTAGACCCTTCCAGTCGCCTGTTGCCTTGGCAATGTCATCACCAATCTCTTTTGGAGACAAACCCAGGGGGCCAATCTGGGCTGCCAGGCCTCACGTGGCATCAACACTGGTGCACCTCAGGTAGACAACTTTGATCTCATTGGGGTGGAACTTGCATGACATGGCAGAGGTGGCTGGCGTCGAATAAAGCCAGATGTGTACTATCAAAGAAAGTTGTACCTAAGCCTTCTCCAAGCCGACAGCCAAGAGTTGCGCTTCCTATTTTAGTTCTCTTGAAAGGCAGATTTGGCTGAGTAAAGAACATCGGCCTAGAGGTAAACCCACCTTTTCTAATCACAGGCAAATTAAATGACACCATGGAAACCTTCCTTCACACCTCACCCATTTCCACCAATACCACACCCTTCTGGATACTGCTGTGACGTTTATTACAGTCGTTAATAAGTTATTCACATCTTATTGGTTTAAAACATTTCTCCTCCTGGAGGCTGAAGCTCCAGATGGGCCAGGGTTGTGTCTAGTTTGCTGCCGAGTTCTGAGCTCAGTCAGTAACATCTGATACAAAATAAGCACACAGTATTTATCGAATAAAAGAAAATGTTAGTCTTTGTGCTGTAAATGTTACCTAGAGCAGTTCCTGTTTGGTGTGGCTTCTCGTCAATAAAGACACACCGAGGTGAGGAGGGAGGAAGAGCATTTATTGCAAATGCACAGGTAAGTAGCAAGGAGGTGTATATATCAAATCAAACTCCCCGAACAAAGGGAGGCAGAACCTGTAATACTATCTCTCACAAGAAAGTGCATACAAACATTATGGACTACATAGGTTATCTTGGCACTCAGGCACAGTAAGACAAATTGCATTTTTTTTCTTTGGCATGTAGTCTAGTAAACCGGGTTTGACTGGCCTGAGCCACACACAGCACTTTGAGGACAATGGGACTGGAGGGGGCAGGTTCTGCTTTGTCTGAGAAGCTGCTAATTGAGCCACACGCAAGGCTATCACTTAAAGTTTTGTTTGCTAATGGCGAAGCAGCTCCCGGCTACCTTGGCTATCAAGAATACTGGAATTTAAAAATAAATTACACAGGGTCAAAAATTTTATGATCTTAATAGTTGGCACCAGAATTCTTTTTCAGGGAAATACCTTGATAAGCCATTTGGAGTAAGCAAGCACCAGAGGATTGTTGGAAGGCACTGAGGCAGAAAAAGAAATGGCTGGCCAGTCTACATGACAAAACAGGAGAATTTGCTTTCTCAGAAAGGAAGGAGGAGCCCAGTTGATGGTGTGAAACTAGGCACCAGGTGAGATAAACCAGCAATGAAAATCCCCTTTGTTAAAAATTAAAATGTCCTTAGTATTAAATTTGTGTAGGAACTCACAAGTTTTATTTTTTGCAGTTCTTGAATTGAGGAAGGTCTGGTCTGGAAGTCAGACAAGAGTTCCTTCCCAAGGCAGTACAAAGAGGAAGGGTTTTTGTAAGCACAGACGCACTGGGACAAGAAGCTGTATTGGGCAAATTTTGGATTGGCTGGTAGGCATTTTCTTTCCTAATTTGGGATCAAGGGTAGATTTGGAACTAGGTTAAACTGAGCAGGCAAGTCCTAAGTGGCTAACTTAGGTTTCCATTTCAGGGAGAATCAATGAATTGATTCGGGTTTTGGCTCCTGGGAAGTTCAGGCATTTATAGGTGAGAAACGGAGTTTTAATTCTCATGAAATCCAGATTTCTGGGTTCCATGCAGGTTGATGTGACCCATTCAAGCTATCGCCCTGAGATGATCTTTGGACTTTGAACCTTAAGAATACTGGTCTCCTGCCCTGAATAATCAAAGAATTATTGAAGAAAAGAATAAAGTAGGAGACCTCGCACTACCTGATCTCAGAACCTACTATACAGCCACGATAGTCAAAACAGCCTGGTACTGATACAATGACAGACACATTGACAAATGCAACAGAATCGAGAACCCAGAAGTAAATCCATTCACCTGTGGTCAGCTGATCTTTGACAAAGGCCCAAAGTCCATTAAATGGGGAACAGACCATCTTTTTAACAAATGGTGCTGGCAAAGCTGGTGTCCATCTGTAAAAAAAATGAAATGGGACTCATACCTCACACCATACACAAAAACTAACTCAAAATGGATCAAAGACCTAAATATAAAACCTAAAACAATAAAGATCATGGAAGAAAAAATAGGAACAACACTAGGAACCCTAATACATGATATAAATACAGTACAAACCATAACTAACAATGCACAAACATCAGAAGATAAGCTAGATAACTGAGATCTTCTAAAAATTAAACACTTAGGATTATCAAAAGTCTTCATTAAAAGAATAAAAAGAGAACCTACAGATTGGGAAAAAAATTTTATCTACAACATATCCCACAAGGATCTAATCTCTAAAATCCATAGAATACTTTAACACCTCAACAACAAAAAGAGAAATAATCCAGTTAAAAAATGGCAAACAATATGAACAGACACTTCATCAAAGAAGACATTCAAGCAGCTAACCAGACACATGAGGAAATGCTCATGATCGTCAGACATTAGAGAAATGCAAATCAAAACTACAATGAGACACCATCTCACCCCGACATTACTGGCACTAATCAAAAAAACAGAAAATAACAAATGTTGGAGAGGCTGCAGGGAGATAGGAACACTTATGCACTGCTGGTGGGAATATAAAATGGTACAACCATTTTGGAAAACGGTATGGTGCTTCCTTAAAAAGCTAAAAATAGAAATACCATATGATTCAGCAATCCCACTCCTAGGAATATATCCTAGAGAAATAAGATCTGCGACATGACTAGACATATGCATATGCATGTTCATTGCAGCATTATTCACAATAGCAGAAAGATGGAAACAACCTAAACGTCCATCATCAAATGAATGGATAAACAAATTATGGTACATATACACAATGGAATATTATGCAACCATAAAGAACAATGATGAATCTGCAAAACATCTCACAACATGGATGAATCCAGAGGGCATTATGCTGAGTGAAATAAGCCTATCACAAAAGGATAAATACTGTATGAGATCTCTATTATAAAAACTCCTGAAAAGGTTTCTACATAGAAAGAAACAATCTTTGATGGTTACAAGGGAGGGGAAGATTGGGGAGGGGAAATCACTAACTAGATAGTAGACAAGTGTTAACTTTGATGAAGGGAAAGACAATATACAATATAGGGGAAGTCAGCACAACTTGAAAAAGGCAAAGTCATAGAAGTTTCCTAGACACATCCAAACATCTTGAGGGATTGATTTACTGGGGCTGAGGGTGGAGACCATGGTCTTGGGGGACATCTAGGTCAACTGGCATAACATAGTTCATAAAGAAAATGTTCTACATCCTACTTTGGTGAGTAGCATCTGGAGTCTTAAAAGCTAGCAAGCAGCCATCTAAGATACATCTATTGGTCCCATCCTGTCCGGAGCATCGAAAATGAAGAAAACCACAGACCCAAGGAAAATATTAGTCCAAAGGACTAATGGACCACATGAACCACATCCTCCACCAGCCTGAGCCCAGAAGAACTAGATGGTGCCTGGCTACCAACACCAACCTCTCTGACAGGGATCACAATAGAGGATCCCAGATACAGCAGGAGAAAAATGTAAAACAAACTTCAAATTCAACAACAACAACAAAAAAAAGACGAGACTTACTGGTCTAACAGAGATTGGAGCAACTCCCAAGACTATGG